TAAAACCCCCTACCACTCCCAGAGCGCTTCGCGCGGCGACCCCGCCCTCAGGGCCTGAGAAGCCCAACCCTTGGCTTCAGCCCTCTTGCCCTTCACTGTGGCCTCGGCCGCTGGGGGCCTGCGTTTCAACTGTCCCACACTTTACAATGACTTGAGCAGCTTAACCTCCTCCGTTTCTCTCTTCTTATCTGCAGTCTAGAACTCGTGCTCCCCCAGTTTGAAGGTTACCTCTGCTTCCGCAGTGTCAACTGCCCCTCTCTCCTGACCAGAGCTTGCCAGCCTGGCAAATTCAGAGATTTTGAGGGTCTGTAGATGTGATTGACCCAAAATGCCTTTTCCTCCCAGCCAGTTTTTATGCTTCAAGACCTCGGGTCTGTGTGGTTTCTAGGAAGTTCCTGGTTTTCAAATTGAATGCTGCAACCCTGCCTCCAAGTGCCAAACTGTAGCACAGTGCAAGTGTGGCAGAAAATTAGGAACGTGTAGCAAAAGATATCAAGAATAAGGTATGAGGGACTGCAGAGACGGTTCAACAGTTAGGGTACTGACAACTCTTCCAGGAGACTCAGGATCCATTCCTGGCACATGGCAGCTAACAATAGTCTGTTAATCCAGTAATATCCAAGGCCCTCTTGTGGCCTCATGAGCACTGCACACACGAGGTACACAAATACACAGGTAAAGCACCCAGACGCATTAGAAAAAGAAAAAAGACAAAAAGAATAAGGTATGAAAAAGCCAGTTGATAATTGCCTGGAAACCCTTCCCCGCCTGGGCTACTCAAACAAACTTGGCCTAGAGAAGGCAGGTGGTATGGAAATGGCCTATAAAGGGTTCATGAGATTATGGCTAAGGACTTGAGTTTATGAGTCTTAACCAGATCACTAGCCTATTCCCAAGCTCCTGAGTATCTTTGTAAATTTTTTAATGAATTGCTTCTATTATCTCGGATACAATTCTTTGTCCTGAGATACAAGAACCTAGAAACCTAAGTAGGTGACCCTGTGACTCATCCAGGAGGTAAATCTGTGCTATTTTTTATTTCCCATTTTCCCCTTCCTTATTTATACTATCTTTCACTTTCCCAGGAGCATTTCAAAGTGGTAGGAAAGCCCTCAGCTCTCGAGAAACCCTGATAATAGTGCAGGGGCATGCTCCCTTTCCCAGCATCCTTCAGTTTTCTATGGTTTTGCCACCTATGGTGATCTATACTCATGGCCCAGGGAAGCCTGGACCCTTCTCTGCCCTATTGTGACATGAGCAGAAAAAAAAAAGTTATGCATTGACCAGGGGCTCCCAAGCTTACATTTAACCTGGGAGGCTGAGTGGCAGCTGGTCAGGAGGGTCTGCCCTTTACTAGGATGCCTGTGAGGTTCTAGTGTTCCAGTATCAAGTTCCTGTCTTTTTGTTTCCTGTTGCTGTGATAAAAATACCCTGACACAAGCCACTTAAGGGAGAAGCAGGCTTATTTGGCTCACACTTCAGGATACTGTTTGTGGTGGTTTTAATGAGAATGGTCCCATGGGCTCATATATTTGAATGTTTGATTCCCAGTTGTACTGTTTAGGAAGAGTTAGGAGGTGTGGCCTTATTGTAGGAGGTGTGTCACTAGGAGTTGGCTTTGAGGTTTCAAAAGCGCAGGCCTGTCGGGGCCTGAATATAATATTTCAGAAATAGGCCTCAGCTCAATTCCAGGAGCTCAGATCTCCTATTGTCTTTTAGACGTCGGCTGGTTACTTCTGGATGGCCTGGCCACAGTGGAGAATGGCTTTTCTTTCCCTAGGTCCTGGGCAAGCCTATGCCCATCCTGAAGGCTACGTGCAGTTCTAGAAGCATCTTGAGGATTAAAGGAAATATTT